GGGGGGGACAGGGGGGTGTCACCGTCACCCCCCGCGTGTGTCACCGTCACCCCACGCGTGTGACGTCACCCCAGGGTGCCAGATCATCCACCCGCCGCGGGACGGGGGCATCCGGTACCGGGGGCTGACCCCCGAGGAGGTGCAGAGCGTCCGCTTCCTGCCCTTCGACTACGAGATCGAGTACGTGTGTCGGCCCGACCGCGAGATCGTGGGGCCCAAGGTGCGCAAGTGCCAGCGCGACGGCACCTGGACCGCCATGGGCCACCCCAGCCGCTGCCGTGAGTCTCACCGGCACCGTCCTCACCCTCATCACCATCTCCATCACCATCACCCTCGACAACATCACCATTGACATCCCCACCAACGTCACCATCCCCATCAATGTCACCATCAACATCCTCACCCTCATCACCATCTCCATCACCCTTGACAACATCACCATCACCATCGACATCCCCATCAATATCACCATCACCATCACCATCCCTGTCACCATCCCCATCAACGTCACCATCCCCATCAACATCCCCATCAACATCTCCATCACCATCAACATCCCCATCAACGTCACCATCCCCATCAATGTCACCATCAACATCCCCATCACCATCAACATCCCCATCAAAGTCACCATCCCCATCACCATCTCCGTCACCATCTCCACCTCCATCACCCTTGACAACATCACCATCGATCACCATTGACATCCCCACCAACGTCACCATCCCCATCAATGTCACCATCAACATCCTCACCCTCATCACCATCTCCATCACCCTTGACAACATCACCATCACCATCGACATCCCCATCAATATCACCATCACCATCACCATCCCTGTCACCATCCCCATCAACGTCACCATCCCCATCAACATCCCCATCAACATCTCCATCACCATCAACATCCCCATCAACGTCACCATCCCCATCAATGTCACCATCAACATCCCCATCACCATCAACATCCCCATCAAAGTCACCATCCCCATCACCATCTCCGTCACCATCTCCACCTCCATCACCCTTGACAACATCACCATCGACATCCCCATCAACATCACCATCCCCATCAATATCACCATCAACATCCTCACCCTCATCACCATCTCCATCACCCTTGACAACATCACCATCTCCATCACCATCACCATCTCCATCACCATCCCCACCAAAGTCACCATCCCCTTCACCATCACCATCTCCATCCCTGTCACCATCCCCATCACCATCGACATCCCCATCAATATCACCATCAACATCCTCACCCTCATCACCATCTCCATCACCCTTGACAACATCACCATCACCATCGACATCCCCATCAATATCACCATCACCATCCCCATCCCCATCACCATCCCCATCAACGTCACCATCCCCATCACCGTCTCCATCAAACAACATCACCATCGACATCCCCATCAACATCACCATCCCCATCAATATCACCATCAACATCCTCACCCTCATCACCATCTCCATCACCCTTGACAACATCACCATCTCCATCACCATCACCATCTCCATCACCATCCCCACCAAAGTCACCATCCCCTTCACCATCACCATCTCCATCCCTGTCACCATCCCCATCACCATCGACATCCCCATCAATATCACCATCAACATCCTCACCCTCATCACCATCTCCATCACCATCTCCATCACCATCTCCATCACCATCTCCATCACCATCTCCATCACCATCTCCATCACCATCTCCATCACCATCTCCATCACCATCTCCATCACCATCTCCATCACCATCTCCATCACCATCTCCATCACCATCTCCATCACCATCTCCATCACCATCTCCATCACCATCTCCATCACCATCTCCATCAACATCACCATCTCCATCAACATCACCATCAACGTCACCATCCCCATCCCCGTCACCACCCCCATCAAAGTCACCATCTCCGTCACCATCTCCGTCACCGTCACCGTCTCCATCCCCGTCTCCATCCCTGTCACCATCCCCATCAAAGTCACCATCTCCATCCCCATCTCCATCAACGTCTCCATCACCATCTCCATCCCCATCCCCGTCACCATCTCCATCCCCATCAACATCACCATCAATGTCACCATCTCCATCCCCATCCCCGTCACCATCCCCATCAACGTCACCATCCCCATCACCATCCCCATCACCATCACCATCCCCATCAACATCCCCATCTCCATCACCATCCCCATCCCTATCACCATCTCCATCACCATCCCCATCTCCGTCACTATCCCCGTCACCATCCCCATCACCATCTCTGTCACCATCCCCATCAAAGTCACCATCTCCATCACCCTCTCCATCAAAGTCACCATCCCCATCTCCATCCCCATCTCCATCACTGTCTCCATCCCCATCAACGTCACCATCCCCATCCCCATCCCCATCAACCTCACCATCCCCATCAACATCACCATCAATGTCACCATCTCCATCCCCATCCCCGTCACCATCTCCATCCCCATCAACATCACCATCAATGTCACCATCTCCATCCCCATCCCCGTCACCATCCCCATCAACGTCACCATCCCCATGAACATCCCCATCAACATCACCATCCCCATCAACATCCCCATCTCCATCACCATCCCCATCCCTATCACCATCTCCATCACCATCCCCATCTCCGTCACTATCCCCGTCACCATCCCCATCACCATCTCTGTCACCATCCCCATCAAAGTCACCATCTCCATCACCCTCTCCATCAAAGTCACCATCCCCATCTCCATCCCCATCTCCATCACCGTCTCCATCCCCATCAACGTCACCATCCCCATCACCATCACCATCTCCATCCCCATCAACGTCACCATCCCCATCAATGTCACCATCCCCATCCCCATCCCCATCAACCTCACCATCCCCATCAACATCACCATCAATGTCACCATCACCATCCCCATCCCCGTCACCATCCCCATCAACGTCACCATCCCCATCACCATCTCCATCCCCATCACCATCTCCATCCCCGTCACCATCTCCGTCACCGTCTCCATCACCGTCTCCATCACCATCACCATCTCCATCAAAGTCACCATCCCCATCACCATCTCCATCCCCGTCACTGTTACCATCCCCGTTACCATCTCCGTCACCATCCCCATCAAAGTCACCATCCCCGTCACCATCACCATCACCATCCCCATCAAAGTCACCATCCCCGTCACCATCTCCATCACCGTCTCCATCACCATCCCTGTCACCATCTCCGTCACCATCCCCATCACCGTCCCCGTCACCATCCCCATCCCCGTCACCATCCCTGTCACCATCCCCATCACTATCTCCATCCCCATCAACGTCACCATCCCCGTCACCATCTCCATCACCGTCTCCATCCCCATCCCTGTCACCATCTCCGTCACCATCCCCATCAAAGTCCCCATCTCCATCCCCATCTCCATCACCGTCTCCATCCCCATCCCTGTCACCATCTCCGTCACCATCCCCATCAAAGTCCCCATCTCCATCCCCATCTCCATCACCGTCTCCATCCCCATCCCTGTCACCATCTCCGTCACCATCCCCATCAAAGTCCCCATCTCCATCCCCATCTCCATCACCGTCTCCATCCCCATCCCTGTCACCATCTCCGTCACCATCCCCATCAAAGTCCCCATCTCCATCCCCATCTCCATCACCGTCTCCATCCCCATCCCTGTCACCATCTCCGTCACCATCCCCATCAAAGTCCCCATCTCCATCCCCATCTCCATCACCGTCTCCATCCCCATCCCTGTCACCATCTCCGTCACCATCCCCATCAAAGTCACCATCCCCGTCCCCATCCCCATCCCCGTCCCCGTCACCATCCCCATCCCCGTCACCATCCCTGTCACCATCCCCATCACTATCTCCATCCCCATCAACGTCACCATCTCCATCAACATCACCATTCCCATCTCTATCACCATTCCCATCCCCATCCCCATCAACATCTCCATCAACATCCCCGTCACCATCCCCATCTCCATCAAAGTCACCATCCCCATCACCATCTCCATCCCCATCCCCATCTCCATCCCCATCTCCATCTCCCCCTCCATCACCATGCCCATCAAAGTCACCATCCCTGTCACCATCCCCATCACCATCCCCATCACTGTCTCCATCACCATCCCCATCTCCATCACCATCTCCATCAAAGTCATCATCCCCGTCACCATCCCCATCACCATCTCCATCACCATCTTTGTCACCATCCCCATCAACGTCACCATCACTGTCACCATCCCCATCACCATCCCCATCACTGTCTCCATCACCATCCCCATCTCCATCACCATCTCCATCAAAGTCATCATCCCCGTCACCATCCCCATCACCATCTCCATCACCATCTCCATCACCATCTCCATCACCATCTCTGTCACCATCCCCATCAACGTCATCATCTCCATCCCCATCCCTGTCACCATCCCCATCAACGTCACCATTCGCATCCCCATTGTCACTGTCACCATCTCCAGCCCATCACTGTCATGATCACCATTAGCATCACCGTCTCTGTCACCATCACCATAACCACCCCCATCGCCATCCTTATGCCTGTCGCATCACCATCCCCACCATTGTCACCATCCCCATCGCTGTTACTGTCACCATCACCATTGTGATCACCGTTAGTGTCACCATCCCCATCACCAACCCCACCATCTTCACCATCACCACCCTCGTCACAATCCCCATCATCACTGTTACCATCACTATCGTGATCACCATTAATGTCACCATCCCCACCACCATCACCATGCCTACCACTGTCATCGTCACTATCCCCACCATTGTCCCCATTCCCATCACTGTTACATCACCATCACCATTGTGGTCACCATTAGCATCATCATCCCCATCACCATCATTGTCACCATCACCATCCTCATCCCCATTCCCATTGCTGTTTTGTCACCATCACCATCCCCATCGCTGTTACTGTCACCATTACCTGTCACCATCACCATTGTGATCACCGTTAGTGTCACCATCCCTACCACCAACCCCACCATTGTCACCATCACCACCCTCCTCACAATCCCCATCATCACTGTCACCATCACATTGTGATCACCATTAGTGTCACCATCACCATCGCCATCTCCATCACCTTCCCCATCCCCACCATTGTCACCATCACCATCCCCATCACTGTTACATCACCATCACCATTACAATCACCATCATCATTGTGATCCCTGTCACCATCCCTGTCACTATCACCATCAACATCCTCATCATCTTCACCATCACCATTATTGTCACCGTCATGACCACCATTAGCATCACCCATCACCATCAGCGTCCCCATCACCATCACCATTGTGATGACCATTAGTATAACCAATCCCCATCATCCCTCTCACCATCACCATGACCATCACTGTCACCATCACCATGACCATGATCTTCACCATGACCATGATCTTCACCATGACCATGATCTTCACCATGACCATGATCTTCACCATGACCATCACCTTCACTGTTACCATGACTGGGAGCACCACCGCACCATCAGCATCCCCATCACTGTTGCCATCACCACCATCATCACCATTTCCATCACCGTCACCACCACCACCATCACCATCACCACCATTTCCATCACCGTCACCTCCACCACTTCCATTATCATCACCATCAACACCATCACCGTTTCCATGACCATCACCACCATCATCACCATTACAACCATCATCACCATCTCCATCACCAGTTCTCCCAACCAGCACCCACTGGTAGGGGTGGGGAGGATTTGGACTTGACGCCCCCACACTTTTGCACCCCCAAACCAGTGAGGACCTGTCCCAAGATGCACCTGAGCCTGGAGAACGGGCAGGCGGTGGCGCGGGCCATGGAGCGGGTGCCGGTGGAGGGGACGTGGACCGAGTACAGCTGCAACCCCGGGTTCCGCCTGGTGGGCAGCGCCCGCAGTAACTGCACCAAACTGGGGCGCTGGAGCACCCCCAAACCCATCTGCGAGCGTGAGTGGGGTCCCCAGGGGGTGGGAGGGGACATATGGGGGGGGTGGTGG